ACATTTATGTGGTGCTGAGAACCGAACCCAGTGTCTCACCCACTCTAGGCGAGAGTGCTACCAATCGAGCCACATCCCCAGCCYCAACACACAAAAGTTTTAACTACATTAAAGTTAAGAACTTATGGGTGTGGTGGCTCATGCCTGTAATCCCAGTGGCTCAGGAGGCTGAGGCAGGAGAATCATGAGTTCATAGACAGCCTTAGCAACTTAGTGAGGCTCTAAGTAACTCAGTGAAACCTTGTCTCTAAATAAAATATTTTAAAACATGGTTTGTTTCCACAAAAGGAGAAATATGGCTAGTAAATCATATGAAATCTAACCTCATTAGTAATCTGGAATGATGCAAGTACTTATACCCCAGTGGAACATTGTATCACACCTAGTGTACTGAAAAGTGATGATTCTAAGTGTTGTTCAAGATAATATATCAGGAGTTGAGGTTGTGGCTCAGTGGTACAGTACTTGCCTAGCATGTGTGAGGCACTGGGTTTGATTCTCAGCACCACATATAAATAAATAAAATCCTTTGACAACTAAAAAAAATATTTTTAAAAGAACAAAACTATATATTAACAAAAGATAATATATCAGTGGGAACCTTTTGTTTATTGCTTAGCTAGTTAAATTAGCAACATACTGGAAGACAACTTTGACATTACAACTCATTCCTTGGAGCATCAATTCTCAAAACGTGGTCTGCAGACCCCAGTGTATCCTTGTGACCACCACTTCAGAGGGTTTTTGAAGACTAAAATGTTGTTTGCCATTTTCACTGTATTGATATCTGTACTTATGCTTTAGCTCAAATCAAGGCAGTGGTATCAAAGAATACTAGTAATCTTTGTATTCTTTACCATCAACTGTATTTTTTTAAAAATAATGTCCTTGGTGAGGCCAGACTCAGTGGCCCATAGCTGTAATCCCAGTGACTTGGGAGACTAAGACAGGAGGATCCCAAGTTTGAAGCTAGTTTCAGCAACTTAGTGAGACCCTTCTCAAAATACAAAAAGGCTCAGAGTGTAGCTCAGTGATATAATTTCCAGTGCCACCATAAATAAATAAAWAWATAAAAGTAKATCCTTAGTAATTGATTTGGGCATGTATCTCAGTGGTAGAGTGGTTGCCTAGTATGTGCAAGCTTCTGGGTTCTGTCCCTAGCACTATAAATCAAAAGAAGACTATCCCCGATGAAGCCATACAAATTCAACCCTTGAAAAATATCTGGGGAAAAATCACCTGTGAGCTTAAGTTGTTAACTATAAACTAGACTTGATTTGGGGAGGGTGAGGGTACTGGTGATTGAATCCAGGGAAGCTTAACCACTGAAACACATTTCTAGCCCTTTTCTTAGCTGTATATTTTATTAGAGACAGGGTCTCGATGAGTTGCTTAGGGCCTTGATAAATTGCTGAGGTTGGCTTTGAACTCCCAATCCTTCTGCCTCAGCCTCCAGAGCCAATGGGATTATAGGCATGCATCACTGAACCTGGCTAAACTAGCCTTTTTTTTTTTTTTAAGTATTTATTTTTAGTTGTTGATGAACCTTTATTTTATTCACTTATTTATATGCAGTGCTGAGAATCAAATCCAGTGCCCCACACATGCCAGGCAAGCACTTTTACCAATGAGCCACAACTCCAGTCTGACCTTTTTTTTAAAAAAAAAAAAAAAATTAAATTTTTAAAATTATTATTTTTGTTGTTATTGTTTATTTATTTTTAAGTGGTGCTAAGGATTGAACCCAGTGCCTCACATTGCAAGGCTACATGTGCTCTGCCACATGTGTTCTGCCACTGAGCCACCTCCCCAGCCTCCTCCCCCCTTTTTTTAATGAATCTTTTTTTTTAATATTTACTTTTTAGTTGTAGTTGGATGCCATACCTTTATTTTACTTATTTTTATGTGATGCTGAGGACCGAACCCTGGACCTTGCACTTGCTAGACGAATGCTCGGCTGAGCCACAACCCCAGCCCTCTGACATTTTTTTTTTTTAAACGCTATTTTTACTTGGAAGAATGAGTATCAGACAAACTATGGTTATTCAGGTTTGGATATTAGGGATTTTCATAAAATGAGTCAGTATTTGCCAATAATCCAATTTTAGCTTTTAAACAGAATTTCTGCTGGGTGTGCAGGTGYGGTAGTGCATGCCTATAATTAATCCAGCAACTCAGGAAGATCAGTGTGTGTGTGTGTGGGGGGGGGTGGTTCTGGGGATTGAACCCAAGGCCTTGTGCATGAGAGGCAGGCACTCTATCAACTGAGCTATATCCCGAGCCCTGGCCTCAGCAATTTTGTGACACCCTGTCTAAAAAAAATAAAAAGGGCAGGGGGATGTAGGTAGCTCAGTGGTAGAGTGACACTGAATTCAATCTCCAGTACTGCCCTTATCCCCAAAATTTAGAATTTCAGAAAATGTATCTATCACTGATTCCTCAGTAGCTTCCCCATAGATTTGTGGGTTTGTTTTTTTTTTGTTGTTGTTAGTTTTGGTACTGGGGATTGAACTCAGGGGTACTCAACCACTGAGCCACATCCCCAGTCCTATTTTGTATTTTATTTAGAGACGGGTTCTCACTGAGTTGCTTAGTGCCTTGCAATTACAGAGGTTGGCTTTGAACTTGCGATTCTCCTGTCTTAGTCTCTCAAGCCACTGGGATTACAGGCATGTGCCACTGTGCCCAGCATTCCCCATAGATTTGTAACAGGAAAAAGCTAGAGGGAAAAGACCCACAGAAAAATAAAGTGTGATATAGTTAAATTGTGAAATAATAAAATAGGAAAAAATAATGAAATATAGCTACATGCAGAAACATGAGTGAATCTTAGAAACCCAGAAAATGGGGGTGAAATCACTTTCAGAAGACAAAACAGATTGTTTAGGGACATATATATGTGTGATTAATAGCAAAGACAAAAGTAAAAATGATAAAATTTCATGATAATGGGGCATTGTTGTTGTTGTTGTTGTTGGAGATGAGGGATTCTAGAATAGGGGAAGAGCGCAGGACGACTAATTTTAAGCATATTGATAATGTTCTTAGATTGGGTGATAGGTTTGCAGATATGTACTGTATTATTTTGCTTGGTAATATCTGAGTTTATTGGGCAAATCATGGCTCTTTTTTTTTTGTGGAATGGCTTGATCATAACTTGTGATAATTTGCCCTGGCATTGTTCTGAGAAGTACTCACAGTCAAACTTTTTTTTTTTTTTTTTTTCAGTGCCAGGGATTGAACCATGGGCCTTGTACATGCTAGGCAAGTGCTACCACTGAGCAATATCCCCAGCCCATTTCACATGCATTAAACTATTTAATCTTTATACAGGTTGAACATTGAAAATTTGAAATCCCAAGCACTTTWGATCTTAAGTATTTAGGGTAAGGAGTACTCAGCCTGTAATAACTCAGTAAAATAGGAATGATCATGATCCTGTTTTTTGTTTGTTTGTTTATACTGGGGATTGAACCCAGTGACACTTAACCAACTAAATCACATCCACAGCTCTTTTTATTTCTTATTTTGAGATGGAGTCTCACTAAGTTGCGTAAGGCCTCACTAAGTTGTTGAGGCTGGCTTCAAACTTGCTWTCTTTCTGCCTCCGCCTCCTAAGCTGCTGGGATTTTGGCTGTGTACCTCTGTACCCCCCTGTGACCCTGTTTTAAAGAGAAGATCCTGGGCTGGGGATAGAGCTCAGTTGGTAGAGTGCTTGTGTTGTCTGCACAAGGCCCTGGGTTTGATTCCCCGGCACCAAAAAAACAAAAAAAAAAAAAAAGAAGAAGAAGAAGAAGAAGATCCTGAAGGAAAAAGATTAAAGGAATTTGTTCAGRTTGCTTGACTAACAAGTTGAAGAACCAGGATTTGAACCCAGACAATCTGGTCCCTGGGCCCATACCTTTTTAACTACTATATGTATACCAATTGCTGTGATACCACCTATGTAACAAGCTTATTATTATTAAAGGAGACTGTTGAGTATGTGTTCACCTGCCATGTTTGTAGGCATGGCACAGGAGATTTTAGGTACAGTTATTGGATTATTGGGCCTCCCTGAGAAGCATTGGTCCTACTGGAATAGGAGAGGATAGAGCATGGTTAGGAACAAGAGCACAATGAAAAAGAAATGCTGTCTACTTGAGAGTCTTTGACACTGTGTTTATATTTTCCCTTCTAGAGACCATGGCGAGCCCAGGAAAAGACAATTATCGAATGAAGAGCTATAAGAACAATGCCTTGAACCCCGAGGAAATGAGGCGAAGAAGAGAGGAAGAGGGCATTCAGCTCCGGAAGCAGAAGCGGGAGCAGCAAGTGGGTTAACCAGAATATTCTCAAACATTTTATCAGGGAAACAGTTTAGTTGCTATGKTTAGCCTTTACCTTGACACTCAACTTTCCCTTAGGAATGTTTAGCTTAGCTACTTAGTGGGCCAGTCATCCAGTTTCATTTTGGGTTTTTTTTTTTTCCCCAGTTCTAGGGATTGGACCCAGGAGTGCTTTTCCACTGAGCTACATTCCTAGCCCTTTTAATTTCTTTCTTTTTTTTAAGACATGTCACTAAGTTAGTTGCTTAAGCTGGCCTTATAGCCTTAAACTTGTGGTTCTCTTCCTCAGCATTCAGCCAGTGGGATGACAGGTGTGCAAAACAGTATCCACCTTCCAGTCTGCTTTTGTGAAGAAGTGTTGGAAGCTTTAAGAAAGGGAGAACCGGGGCTGGGGATGTGGCTCAAGCGG